AAAAAAAAAAAGACTTTATAAAATTAAAAACATTATGTATGTGCACACACTCCCCATGGTGACTGGCAGCTAATCAAGCGTTGTGTAAACAAGTGTTTTAACGCTTCAGGTCAGTTTTAAAATAAATCTGTGTGTGGATCCAGTGTAAAATGACCTGGGTTTGAGAATTCAGCACCTGCTTTAATGCAGTGGGCTGAGTTCTGTGTCTAGATAGACACTGTCAGGTCTTAAGTTGAAGAAAGCAGTGCTACAAATTGATTTGTTTTTACGTTCAAACTATTCTTGTTCATAAATTGATAAATTATCTGCAGTGTAATCTGCATTCTCACCAGTATTAGTTTGCTAGGATTTCAAACATAACTATAACATTCTGATTTAAACTCTAGTCGAGGGACATATTTAAGCACTTTATTTTAATACAAATAAACCAGACTTGTATTTTTAGGAGGATTTACAATGGAATGATAGTGTTCAGTAATTGTAGTGGTTGTGATTTAAGCAAATATTATTTTTCAGCATTTATGTTTAATGTTTGTATCAGGTTGGGGGGGTTTATGTAAAGGAAACACTAAAAAAGTACAATATAGGTTAGGATCGCTTTTGAAAAAAAATGTATTTGACTCTACTTTGCAGTAGTAGGCAAGTATCTTGTATATTTGCATATGACATATTTCAGGATTGGCACCCTCATGTGCATTTTGACGGACAAGGAGAAAATAAGTTGCCCTTACAGCTATTGCATGGGAAGTCCTAAAACCCACCAGTTCAATGGGTTGTTGCCCTTTGTAATTCTACAAGACCGTAGTGTTCATATAGTTGCCTTATTTATGAATAAAAAAAGCTGCTTTTAGACTATTATACAGGGCGTTAATGTCAGACTGAAATATTTTTCTAATGATTTGATTCTCAGGGAGAATTCAGTGGTCTCAGATACTCCTGTGCAGATGAGACTTCTGAAACGCTTCTCCATTGAGATCTGGAACAGATATCTGCATGTTTGTAACTTGTATGGACAGTTTGTGTAGGCCTAGGATCAGTTGGTCTTTCTCAAGCCTCATGAAAATGACTTGGATGAGTGAAAAACAGCAAATACCCTTCTGTGTCCCAATGGTGGTTAAACTAAACTCAGCTGTGGCCCGATTCCCTTTGAATCAATTCAGTCTTTGTAACGCATGTATGTGTGTCTTGTCTGAATATGCACAAATTGCACTGTGGAGTCTTTACAGGGCTTTAAAAGCTGTATTGCCTGCCTCGTAATGGATGCAGCTTGTTTTTGTTTTTTGCACCTTTTTTTTTTCACTGTTTCTCACAGGAGAAATCTTTGGACTCCTCTGGACTTGTGAGCTCGACCCATTAGAGTGGTTGTCCTGAGACTAAAGGCTTTAGATTGTGTGTGTTTGTGGCGTTCAACACAATCGAGGAATGCCGCCCTTTGAGACTGCCTGTAATCTATTGCCTTACTGTTCATGCACCACGTTTTGCCACATGTATATCAATATGTGCTGTTGCTGGGGGTCCCCCGAGTATCGTAAACATACACACTAATAAAATATCCAAATATCTGTACTGCAAAACATATCTAGATGTGATGACACATCTGTGAAGGTTTAGTTGAGATGTGAAAATCAATGGTTACAGGACTAAAATGCAAATAAAAATCTACATCCTCTAGAATGCAGAAACTGAATATAGAGCGCAAATATTTATGTTTGTAAAATAACTCAAATAAAGTTATTCTTCATTATGTTCATTGAAGTTGGGTGTGTAGTATGTTTTTTGTTTTTTATCTATCCAAGGTCACAAATATTTAACCATTCATAATATGTATTGGTCAATTATGCATAACTTTATTTGATTAAGATTTTTTTTT